GCCAACCTCAACAGCCTCTGGTCTTGGGCTCACCAGAACACATTGCTAAAGTAATGGAAGCCCTTCCCTGGGAGTGTCAAGAATTTGTGAGGCTTTTTGATCCAACACCAGCAGACTTAGAAAGGGTACTAACTAGAGCTGACAATTGGTGGATCAAGCATCCTTCCTCAGAACAGGCCTTCTCTGTCTCAGCCATAAGAACATTCAAGGTCGACTCTGGTAGAGATATAGATGGTAAATGGAGAAGCCAGAGGTGGGGTGTACCCCAGAACAAGAGGGATAATGAGAACTGGAGACCAAAACAGGACTTTGACAAAAGATGGAGAGATCCACACAGGGACCATGGGAATGTAATGGGAGATAATTGGAGGAATAGATGGGAGGGGCCTAAAGTAATCAATAATAATTGGAATAATAATACCTGGGAGAGGCTAAAAAGGAGAGATAACTCGGAAAATCACAGTTGGCAAGAAAAACAGAGAAACAACAGGAACAGTTATAGGGAGAATAATTGGAAAAGGAACCATAGATGGGATGAGCATCAGACCAATAGACGGAATTGGGATAATTGGAGGAATAAAGAAGGGAATACAGACTACTGGGAAATAAAGAGACAGACTGAGAGATTGGAGGCAGACGTGAAAGTGCTTAGGGAACAGATGAGGAAGGGAAATACTGATCAATTTGGGGTCCCCAGCAATGAATAACTCCCATAATTTTTGTTGTCCTCTACATCCTATGTATGTTTGTTTTTCTTTTGTTTTGTTCTTTCTCTCAGTCTTCCAGTCTCCCATTTAGCTATTCCTTTCTAATGATGAGATCTAGTGTTCCCACAGAGCAAGGCAAAGCTGTATTAGGATGATGATGTGTGTCAACAGAAGATCGTAGTGGATCCTTGTTACAGGATGGATAAGTATACGCTGTATCACAGTAGGGATGGGAGACAGGCAATACGGCCAGAAGATACTCCAAATAAGGGAGAGGTTTACAGTCTATATTTTAATAATCCTTCTATTCCTCCAAGGTGTCCGGAACAACGGCGACAGTGTTTTAGGCAAAGCAGGGTGTCAGGAAAAATGGGACAATTTACAGCTCTACTGGGAGGAGTCGGAACTGGATTGAGAGTATGGAATTCTGCAAATATCACATCCAGTCCTACAAACTTTGCCGCTAGTATATTTTTGTGTGGCAATGAAATAGATGAGGAAGAAACTTGAAAAGGGGGATATTTTTTTTTGTTGTTTCTTTTTTGTTTCTCTCTCTCTCTCTCTTTTTCTCTCTCTCTCACACATTCTTCAATAAAGTTTAACATTGCACACACACACACTCACCTAAATTCTATAAGTTCTGTTTTTTTTGTGACACTCTGTATAATATGTGAATTGACAGCCATAGGAAAGTACAGGAGAACTTGTGTCGCTGAGGGAACTATTCCGGAGGGACGGTGGGTTGAATTTCTCCTGTATATCAGGTTTTTGCTCCCACAAGGTTTTCCTGTACTAGAGGGATAACTAGATAACGGAGCAACATAAAAGAAGAAAAAGTGGGGGAATGTGGGGTGATGCAACTCCTATTTGACTGTTTTCTTTCACCCTGCTTATATCACTCACTATAATTCCTGTGCTCCCCTTTCCTACTTCAGATCTCATAGTTTAGATAGAAGGGATAAATTATTATTATTTTTAAATGTGCTCAACATAAGAGAAGAAAAAGTGAGGGAATGTGGTGACATTCTGTCATCAAACTAATATGGTGACCAGGGGTCATGTGACCAAGCTCATGTTTGCTTTTCTTACAGTGGGATAAGCTTTACCCTTTTGAAATGTTAATTGGTAATTCAATACCTTTACAAGTCAGGAAAGAGATAACCACTTCCCCTTTCTCCATTCCTCTCTGTTCCTTCTTGGCTGTGCTGCAGAGCAGATGTGCAGACGCCATGGGCTAGCATGGTGAACCATGTTACACTCTGTTGCTTCCTTTTCTTCCTTGGTGGATGTGATGTTGAACTTGTAGCAGTGAGCCATTACTAGATGTGAAGGCCTAACCATGGGTGAGATCAAGCGTGTGTGGAAGGGGTTACTATATAGATAGATAGATATTAAAAGGGTTGTTGCTCCGTGGGTCTGGGCTGTGTGTTTGTGATACATTTATAGTATTGTGTTGTTGCCTTTTAATAAATACCTTTTAATGTAGACGAACCTTGTGTAATATATATATTAATTTGGTGATACACCACACTTACCACCAAGCCTCAGCATAAAAGGGTTAAACCGCCGTTTAGGAGATCTTCCCCTTGCAGAGACCCAGGCACAGCTACTGCAGAACCCCAAACTTCCGAACAGGATACCAAGTAGCACTCCAAACTCCTGAACTGGAACCTCACGAATAGCTGCTAGCAGCTGAACAGGAAAAGCACCCAAGCGGCTTACACTCCTGGCAATCAGTCTCTAACAGCATACAGTAAATCCCCCCAAGAACGAGACAAAGCTCCGTGTTGAGGGTCAAGCAGTAAACAGACAGAGCTGTGGGTTTATTGTGCTTATGTACACATTAGTACCACCCACAGGGTTTTGGAACACAACCAATAAACACATACAATACACTCAGACACTCCCACACAAAATCCTCCCCTCTGCCTGTGATTCAATTACCTTACACAATGGGTAATGTAATTATAACAAGCAGAGAAATACAATTTTTCCACATTATTCATAACTTGAAAAGTATGCATCACATTCACATATAACTTACATTTTCAGAATCAGCATACTCCAAATACAAACATATGTCAAAATTATACAAATTGGTCCAGTGGTTCAAAAGATAGATCGTAGTCCTTTGTGACCAAAGGAAGCATGGCTTTTCTGCCCAAAACCAGTTCCACAGAAATTGGGAATTATCTCCAAGGACAGAGGCAAAACTCCATTGAACACATGGCAGCAAAAGACAATAAAACACATAAAAACATATAACTGTGAAGCCATTGCACAAAACAGGTACATTCAACATATCCCCAGATAGCTCAGATCTGAGCGCACACATACAGTTCAATTGCCCTTTAGCCAAAGTCTTTCCCATAGTCTTTCATTATACGAATGGGCTCCATGGCATAGCTATCTGGAGTATCACCGCTTAAACAGGGCAAGCACCAAGTGACCCGGCTTTCATGTCTTTGCAGGGGAAAATCTAGCCTTTTAACATGGGGCCATAATCCAAAGGCAACAGGCGAGCAACCAGGCTTCTCCAATGCAATGTGGCGAGATTGGTCTCGTCACAGTTACCATTTTTTTTTCTTACTGCTGTATTATTTGCTGCTATTGGTGGACAGTAAAGAAAGGGTTAAGCAATACTTGCCTCAGTGTCTTTCATTAAATCATGTTATTAAGTAGCATTTTTTTGTAACAGTCTTCTTTGTTATTTTTCTAATGATATTGCTGGGTCATTTATCTTTGTGGAGCGCTAAAGTGTGAGAAATAAGGGGAATGACTTACCCCCGTTAAAACAGGTAGATACAGTGAATGAAAAAAGTATTTGGTCCCATGCTCATTTTGAACGTTTGTCCACTGACAAAGAACTGATTAGTCTATAATTTTAATGGTAGGTGTATTTTAACAGTGAGAGACAGAATAACAAAAACAAATCCAGGGAAACACATGTCAGAAAAGTTATAAATGGTAGATTATGCTAGCTTTTGTACCAATTTATTTTGTACCAATAATCTTAATTTTATTAATGACAGGAGGCAAATATTTGCTTAAGTCTCTCTGTACTAGAACTCCACAGCAGCACATTAACACAGAGAAAATCAACCAATCAGAAAAAAAGTTAGATACAATAAAGCTCCCCTCGCCACACATAACTTCCTCTTTCAAGCTGCAACAAAACAGAATAAGAAACAGAATAAAACCATGCAGGGTAACATTGTAGGCAATGAAGTCAACGATGTCATCCAGCCAAGAGGAAATTTCAAACGTGGTGCCACGAAAAGATTCTAAACTGAAACAAGAAAAACATAGTCGAAAGGGCTGGTTAGATAATGAAATGTACTCTGAAAAAACATGCAGTCACCCAGTGCGACAAACAGAATTGCTGTAATGTACAGAGATCCCAACCGTTCTATGTAAGAAATGGTAACATGAAAAGTGACAGCAGAAACAACAAGCAGAGTTGCATACATACCTGATTACCCAAAACTTCTGACCAGAGATCAAAAAAGGGCAGGAATGAAAAAACTGGGAGGGAAATATTGCTGTTTTAATGTTCAGTCAAACAAAGCAAACCATGCTTGTTTTCCGTCTGTAATTATCCCGGGAGGCCAATACATTCATCCTAAATGGATCCTTCGAGAGCGAGATGTGACGAAAATGCGATTGACAGAGACGCCAGTCCTTGATTTTCCTCCAATCTCCGTTGCAGGATTCACTGTACCTGGTAACATGTGACTGGGCTCCGCCAAGGCGGTCAATGTAATGCAATGCCAATATGGTGTCCATTCTTAGGAGGATACAACAGGCTGATAAATTATCGGTGAAACTTGAGATTGCAAAAGAAAAACCTGCGATTAGTTTTGGACCAAAGATGTGGAAGTAGGCTTCCGAGCGTCCAAGGGCTATCAGTTCCCCAATCTCAAAACTTGTGTTTGGAACCACGACCAAGTCTGGGACAGAAATGAATAAAAGTCTCCACGTTTCCCATTGACCTTCGAGGTGAGTGGTACGATCTGAAAATAGGTCTACTCCGCAGGCTGGCATGTGTGAAGAAAATTGACTTTTAATTGACATTTTCTTCTTTATTCTGTATTTTTCCTGTGTTACTACCTGTATAGTGAATGTATTAGTTCGTTAGTTTGAAATTACCGAATGCCGACCACCCTCCTGGCTTATTAACTACAAAGGAACCAGCTATTAAGTGCTCCCTGGGTGGCCGCTGTTCGTAAAGCCGAACGCCACGTGAAATCGGACACTCGACCTCACGAACTACCGCTGAAACTACCGAATGCCGGCTTCTTGTATTTCCCGAACAGCCAGGGAAGCACCGTTCAGTAGTTCTATGCGAACGGACAAGGGGAGCAATCGCTGCTATGAGCCAGGAGGATCCATTCGGGACTTTTGTTCGGTTTTTACAGATTTGTGAATTGACCGACCGCACACGCTGAATTCATGGAACTATTTTGGGCACAAACATATCCAAATTTCACCCAGATTGGTTCAGGGGTTCTGAAAAAGTGTTGAGGGTCCCTTTTACCCACCACACACGTGACTCGCATGTGTGGTGGGTAAAAGGGACCCTCCACACTTTTTCAGAACCCCTGAACCAATCTGGGTGAAATTTGGATATGTTTGTCCCCCAGATCGGGGCTATCAGGGGATATGTGGGGATACCTTGTGGGGAAAGGGGTGTTCTAAGTTTTGGGGAAATTGTGTGCTCTCTGCCTGGAGATAATGTTTTATTCCTTAACTTATCTCAATATCTCCCAGGCAGAGGGAAGGCGTGTATTACTGTAAACCTGTATGTTGATTGGCTGTTGTCTTTGTTTGCTGTGGGAGGTCCTCTTGCAGGAGGATTTCTCATAAAAGCCCGTGTGTTGTCAATAAAATTAATTTCTGTTACACCCTTCATGAAGTCTAGGCTCATGTTTGGGGGATATTCTACTTGCTGGGAAGAATCACCTTGGAACTGCATTTCATCTACCTTATTCCTCTACTGCTTGCTGCAGATATAATCACTCATGCTCAGCTGTTGGGAAAGGGAACAGAAGACCGCAGCACCATAACCACTGCAGGTCTTAACAGCGTGCAAAGGGGAATCTGGTCGTGCCATAGAATTCTCTGGCTCACAATTCACATTATATAATATATTTATGACTGTGGCCGACAAAGCACTCCTAAGGGCATGTCTGTCCTGAACCCCGGAACTTCACCACCTGGACGGGTCGACTTTCCTTGGAAGACTGCGAAGCTCAGGTATACGAACAAGGGGAAGTGAGGTTGAGATCAGTACAGGGCATCCTCGCGTGAGAGCAATAAGGAGTCCAGCTATGAGGTAATGGAAACCTTTGTAAACGAAGATGAGCCGTCAGTGAATCACCAAGAGCCAAATCACCAAATTGAAGAGTAGATAGGTTGAACTGGCCAGGCTGGTCGTTCCCCAGGAAACACAGCAAACATTGGTGCATGGAATTGAAAACTACTGATTCTGGAGGTGAAAGACAGTGTGTAAACTCACCCGACTTCTTACGAATAAGAAGGTTGGATCCGTAGAAACCCCCAGAGTCAGATGGGAAGCTGACACGCTCTTTAGTCGACCAAGGTCTGGAGATTGACGTCTACAAGCGCCTGGCGGTCCGCCATCCAGACTTGGTTCAGTGGGAATGGTGTCTGTATAGTGTTGGAATGGAACAGTTCACAATGGCTGTAGTAATGACCCCGCTGTTGTTCAGCCCTGCCAGAAAAACCGAGATGGAGTCTGATGAAATGCTCATCACACTAAAGAGCAGGCTCTATTGAGTGTGGTGTGTAAGTCTATGCTGTGCCGGACCATCCGCCAATCGATGCTCCTAGCGCTTACCAAGGACGATCAGCACTGCACCGGACACCATAGCCACTGCAGACTCCACGAACCGCCGTAGCTTGGTTGGGGTCTCGCCGTCTCCTCCAGGAGAGTATAGCTGTGGGAAGGACCTCTCCTCCAGGAGAGTATAGCTGTGGGAATGACCTCTCCTCTAGGAGAGTATAGCTGTGGGAAGGACCTCTCCTCCAGAAGAGTATAGCTGAAGAGAGCTCTTACAAGAGCTAGCAGTTATAGCTGTCCCCTACAACACGAGACGAGGCTGCGAGTTGAGGGTAAGAAGGTCTGGTTTATTGAGCACAAAGGCATTTCTTTTATACACATTTTCAGGCCAGAGGCACACCCCCTGGACCTGATGAAACACAGGGACAAAAGGGACACAAACCAATAGGAACAATAATTATCACAGTAACACTCCCACATACAGTCAACAAGCCCTACCCTCTGCCTGTGATACAATTAACAAAGACAATGGACTAACTCAATTAACTTTAGCAGAAAAAACATACATTTTTACAAACCCAAAAAAGTACCCCAAAATACAACATACAGTCACATCCCCTGATAGCCCCAATCTGGGTGAACATATCCAAAAATCACCCAAATCGGTTTAGGGTTTCAGGAATTTCCTGGAAGTCTTCTTTTTGCCCCACCTTGCACATGGTCCCATGCCCATACACTTGACGACAAAACACTGCTGGACAATTTAAGATGGCTGCCACCACATGTTTGAATCTGTTCTAGTTAAAAGTCCAAGGGGCAGAAACAGTACTTTTGAACATGGGTTATCACAGGGCCCATAGTCCCAGGGTAGGAGGCTGGCAAGCAGGCCTTTCCAAAAACTCATGGCAAACTCCCTTAAAAAGGGGGAGCTTGGAGGGCGGGGCCTGACCGCAGTGCAGGGAAGATGTAACCCACAAGAGCTCCTGCAACAAGCTACACTTAAAAGCTACTTTCACGCTCCACGAAGCGACTAATCGGGTCACAGCGGCCACCAACCGAAAGGGAACATTAAGCAGAATAGAATGATACCCCACACACAGCACCACAAGCTACCCACACCGATCAGGCAATCGACGCCTACTCACATGGCGAGCACGGGAGGGACGGCCTCTCTCCCACCGCCGCGACTAGCTACCTCGATGGTTAAAGGCCCTTGTCCTCCCCCCATGGACCGGCGGGGGTCATCCCGGTCCAGACTCCACAGGGCTGCAGAACCCCGCAAGCCTCCAAGACTGCAAGTAGCACACACCCAGAGGCCAAGATGGCGGCTGCCGACCGAGCTTCTAAACCCCCACATGTCCAACCCTTATCGGCGCAGTCAGCAAGCGAGCACACCCAAGAGGACCACATAGCGGCAGCCTTCGACCTTTTCTGGACACAGTGGCAGACCATACTGGCACAGAACCAAGCAGCCACCTGACTCCCCACCACCTCTCCTGCAAGTATACCTGCGCTGAAATGCATAGCTATGCCACCGACCAACACAAAGCGGCAGAGGGCAACAAGAGCCCTAATTAGATTTAAAAATCACAGACCGAGCACCCAACACCGCAAGCCCTGGTCCCGACGGGCTCGGAGAGCCACTAAACGCGGCCCGCCACTCTACATACTAAAATGGCGCACTCGAGGGGCCTATTCCCTGCCTACACCAGGCGAAGCCAAGAAAGCCTGTCAACGCCTTACCCACGTGCAGCGATGCACAGCCGCAAACAGCACTCCGAAGGGCTGTGCCTCTGCATCAAGGGGACATACAAAGACCCACACTCACCAAACAGCACGGGGAGCGGAGAAGCTGCCACACCACCAAGTATACCTCCCCACCACCCAAGGCACTCACGCAGGACCGGGAGGCTGCGACGGAGTCCCTCTAACCTTCATGACCCGCAACGCCGAGGCCCCATGGGACTCTTCGTTATGTGCCAAACCAGTGCCGACTACAGGAGTCGAATGACTTTCACTTACTCTCACTGCCGCACTGAGGCTTGGACTGCTGCCACGCCACCACGTCCATACAGTCATGGAGGACTATGTCCCGCAATGTTATTAAGCCTTGTCCCTCTGAGCTAGACGAAATTTAGCACACTTAAATAAGCATGATTGCGCTAACGTTTATTGCCCTGGCCAAACACTACGTCAAAGTAACACTCGTTATAAATGCACCTGTTAGCAATCTTATAACATGTTAAGTTTATTTAATTTGTGTTCACTCTATTACTTACATGCCAAGTATCCAGCAAGCATAGCCTATATTGTTTCCATATACTTCATGCCTGCCAACAACTATAACGAGGTTCTTGATAACATCTTCCCCCTCAAATTGGAATAAGTATTACATAGTCAAAACGTTAAGCCAACACTATATATCTAACCTTGCTTCACTAGTGTACCTTCTACCACAGGGAATATTAGTCATAGCTATCAGGGGATGTAACATTTGTGGAATTTATGTATTTTTAGCGTACTTTTTTTCTGTGCTTAGAGATAATTGGATTAGAATTAGTACAGTTACTGATCCAATTATCTCCCATGCAGAGCGGAGGGATTTGTGTCTTGAGTATGGAAGTGCCTTATTGTTATTGGTCTGTGAAGTCTTGGCTCATGTTTGGGGGATTGGAGAACTACAATCACTCTGGCGATTGCTATATTACAATACTCCCCTGAGTATAATCACTAGCTCTTATAAGAGCTGTTCCTGCTACGCTCTCTGGACTATGAGAGGTCTACCCACTGGATGCTGGATCCTGTCTTGGGTCCAGGATGGATAGAGGACAGCGAGACCCCAACCAAGCTATGGTGGTTCGTGGGGTTTACGGTGCTTATGGTGTTCCAGTACAGTGCTTATGGTGCTCGCAAGTACTAGGAAGCAGCGATTGATGGAAGTACTCAGTCGGGGTGCCAGGCGGTCCGTCACAGCGGGAAATTCGCCAGGGTAGAATAACTTGATTTGAGCCAGTCTCAGGCTGTGATCAATACCCCTGCAAGGGTCAGGTCCCGATCTTGCGAAGTATGTGTAAGTCCCGATGTCGCAGTCTGGGGTCATTGCGACCTTATCAGGAAGAGATGGTCTGGACATTCTGCCCTAATCTTGTATGCACTTCTCGGTCTAAGGATCTACGAGTCCAGTAATGTACATACTGGGCCAAATGATCGGGAGCCATCTTTCGGGTGACTTAGGGTGACGAATGGAATGCGGGTCGAAGAAAGGGTTCCCCCATCAAATCCAAGCAGATGTCACCGTTTGGACCTGACATAGGTGGTTATGCAGGACATAAATCAAGTGAAGCTTTCGTGAATGATTCGTGTACAAAGGGAGAGTCCTCCACCTCCGAACCTTGTCAGCTATCCTCATCCTCAGAGGTTGAGCATTCCTCCTACCATTTATACCAAATAGATACTGGGTAGGAACTGTAGAGCTGACCAGAGACTCCAGCCTTTTCACGCGCTTGGTGCGTGCCATGCACTTTCCGAAATGGAGGAGTGGGTCTTCCCCTGTCCAACTGCACTTGATTGTGTATGTCTGTATTTGGAGGCATTGGAATCTTCTGATTCCTCCAACAGGAGAAAATGCCTGAGGGGTTGTCCATATTGGCGCAAAAAGAAAATGACAATATATACAATATCAATTAATCAAATAACTTACCAAACATGTGAGAAC